TTTTTGTTTTTTCGAGACAGGGTTTCTCTGTGTAGCTTTCCGCCTTTCCTGGAACTCGCTTTGGAGACCAGGCTGGCCTCGAACTCACTATAATATTCTAACTCAAACTTTTATTTACCCAGTACAGCAAAATCTCCACAAAAATTTCTTCTTGAAACCAAAGTTAAAGGAACAAGAACAAACCCCCTCACTGCTGTCAGGTCCTTCTCCAGGGGCGTCCATTTCAAGTAAACTCAAACAGACTTTGGTGGAACATGTTCTCATTGCTATCTCCACAATTAAATAAAGGAAAGAGGGACACACACACACACCACACACACACACACACACACACACACACACACACACACACACACACAACGTAAAAGCATCGCAAGTCGATTGTCTTCGTCAGGAATCCTTTGAATGTTTAACAGTGTAAATCCTTCGAGCGCCTGCTACTCTGAGATTCACAAAAGTTCTAGGATGAAGAGCACAGCCTTGAAAAATATAATGTAGTATAAAAGTGGCTTTAAAATATGGAAAAATACTAAAATTTTATAGGCAGATGTTTTTCTAATGTGACTCTTTATGACTGTAACAAGGACATGTTCATTTCTCTGCCAAAGAGGTAAGGTGCCAGGTCCATTTCTGACACTGTCCCTTGATAATAATGCAGATAGGAAATGGAAACATCTTTTTTTATTATTTAATTTGAATGTTTCCGTCTCTTACAATTATGTAGTTACTCTGCTAACCTGCTAAACATCACCAGATAGTCTCTTCAGTATTGATGTAATACTGTCTACATGTAGGTCTAGGGAAATGTTTGCACATATAATAATACTGTGTTAAATATCGATATTTTTTAAATCCGTTGTCCAATAAATCAAAAAGCAAATAGAGAGAGGTTGCCTTTTCATCAGAAGGTCATGGATTTGAAGGCTTGGATTCTGAGAAAATTCACTGATACTTTCTTACTGTTCTGAGAAAATGGACATTAAACTCCACACAGATCATGGAAAAAATGAGCTAGACTCGAAAGCTCAGCTATAAAAGTCACAGAGAAGGTGAATTATTATTGTCAGGGGTTTTACAGCAGTGACTCGCAGCTCCACAACAATCGCCTCTACAGAAAGAAAGCAGAAGCAGAAAGGTGTTTGAAGAATACATCACAGTTTGGAAATCCAAAAACCTTATTTTTAATTGAAATATAGTTAAGAGAACACTAGTATTGCACTGCCAGTGTGGGGCACACTGATAAGTTTATTAAGGTACACAGTATTTTGGGGAACACAATACCACATTTCCTCTCTTTTTGTCTAAAATTAAAAAAGGCTTATAACTAATACAAGAAAAACTATCCAATAAGTATATACAATATATACAGCCAAAAATTACATTAATGATATCTAGTCCATTAACATTTGACAGATTCAGATAAAAACTCCATTATATATATTAACAATGTCCAGTCCAGTAACATCTGATAAACTCAGACCTGCTGTGGGATGTTCTGTATGGAAAATGTGTTGCTGATTAGTCAATAAATAAAACACTGATTGGCCATTGGCTAGGCAGGAAGTGTAGGCGGGACAAGGAGGAGAATAAAGCTGGGAAGTGGAAGGCTGAGTCAGAGAGACACTGCCAGCCGCCATGATGACAAACAGCATGTGAAGATGCCGGTAAGCCACGAGCCATGTGGCAAGGTATAGATTAATGGAAATGGATTAATTTAAGCTGTAAGAACAGTTAGTAAGAAGCCTGCCATGGCCACACAGTTTGTAACCAATACAAGTCTCTGTGTTTACTTGGTTGGGTCTGACTGTTGTGGGACTGGCAGGTGAGAGAAATTTGTCCTGACTGTGGGCCAGGCAGGAAAACTCTAGCAACACAGACCAATAAACGTACAGTTAATATCTGTTGCTTTTGGAGCGATGAAAAGATGATGAAGAAAAAAAGCCATTTCCAGATTTGTCTCTTTTGGTAGCACAAGAAAGTTAATTGTAAATCAAATAGTGCAGAATATCAGTAATTCATTTATTTATCCATCAAATAAAACTGCCTCTGATGCATTATTCTAGGTCCTCACGAGAAATCAATGAATCAGATGGGTATCATCTCTGATGTCTCAGTGTTTATAAGGAGTCTTAGTATCCGGATAAGCGTGGAGAATGCTCGCAACTCTGATAACATTTGTGTCTGTTGAGGCTTCTGGTGGACTTGGGCCTTGTTAAACATGCCATCAGTTCTGATGTAGAGAAATGCATGAGGAACAGCTAGAGAAATTGTAAATATAGACTTACAGGTTCCATGCTGTTTCTAGCCCCATTGTTAGCACTGGGGTCTAGAAGTCTGCATTTGTAAGACACTTTTCAGGTTTGGTTAGTGGAACTAGATTGAAATCCAGTGTTGGGGCCCAGTGTTGGGATCTAGCCCCAACCTATTGAAGGGTCCCTTAAAGAGGGAAGTGAGGAATTGAGAAATGCTAGATAAAAATATAGATGAAGATAGCTTCAGAAGGGCCCTGGGTCAATACCCAGCAGCCTTGAGATAATTTTTAATGAGCTTTTTATACACTAGAAAGGGGAGAGGCAAAAGACCTCCCCCTTTCAAGATCAAAGCACAATGTACAACCAAGTGTAGACCCTTCAAAACACCTGGTAACCCTGCCCTTGGCCAAATCATCCCATTATGCAGCCCTGCTGGGTAAAGCAAGCTCAGACTTTCTGACCTTGAGTAAGGTCTTACTAGGGAGCCTCTCTGGGCCCCCACAATCCAGGTTTTCAGACAGAAATCTGAATTCCTCTTATACAGTTTGTGTTCGTGCATCAGCATGAACATCACAATCATCAGTGTCCGTTCCTTTAATCTTCATTTGTGACTGTTTAAGCTCAACTTTACTTGACTATATTCTGTTGGTTATTTGAAGACATTTTTTTCCTTTATGGGTTTGTGGGACATTATTGTAATCATTCCCTTACATGCTGTCAAAGTCTTATCATTTCTTTGTTTGCTTACTTGGGAAAATTCAGATCAATATGAAATCTGACTACGGAGTTACAGAAAGATATGCAGCCATGCTCACAATTCTGATTTAAAGTTTCTGATTTGAAACTGAAATTTTCTTTAATTTTGATCAGAAATCTTTGTGTGTGTGTGTGTGTGTGTGTGTGTGTGTGTGTGTGTGTGTGTGTGTGTGTGTGTAGGACAGAGGACAACCTCAGGTGTCATTCTTGATCAGGTCTTCCTGTTTGCAAGGCACGCACTTTACAGGCTGAGCTATCTCTCCAACTATTCAGTCAGAAGACGTTAAGTTCCCACGGTTCACTCAATCTCCTCCTGGACAGCAGCTATTTCACATTCCTGTTCTGTTTCTGATCTCCAGGCAATAACTAGTCAGCCATGGACAGGCTGCGCAGTTTCTTGCTGCTTTTTCTCAGAGATAAGGAGGTAATCAGAAAGGATCTTTAGAGACATTCAATAATACTGTGATGGACTTTCACTATGTGTTCTGCTCTCTCTTCTGTTAAAAATGAGAATCTGTCCCGTTCCTGGAGAAATGGTGTTTCTACCTAAAATGCCCCATGCTGTAGCTAATTATCTGCATAAAAATTAGAGTTTCTGAAAGATAAATGTCAGAATTGGTGATTTTCTTTTTTGTATTGATACCTCACTTTCTTTGCCTAGTTTGAACATTTTATAAGTTACTAAGGTGGGGCTGGAGACACAGCCCATGTTCCAGTCCTTGTCTAGCATGTACAAGGTCCCAGGTTCAGTCCCCAGCACTAGAAAAAACATTGTATGACAAAACTCTTCTAAAGTGTGCAGTTTGGAGGTTGTTAGTGAAGTCACTTTAGGATAATTCTTGTTTAAGTATTTATCTTGAGGGTTTGCTTCTTTGTAATTCTTTATGTAGTCTGGATATGAACATTGTATGCTACAAATATTATCTCTACTACATTTACTTGATGATCAAGATTAACCGCCACAGATGCCAACGTATGGATTAATTCCTCCTAAATGTTGAGCTCCACTCACTGGTATAGTTAGCTCACATTTCCATGAACATTACTGTTGATTTGGTCACTTATCAATGTTTACTGAGCAACGCTGAAGTAAATCTCCTGTTTATATAGTCTTACATAGTCATGGTTCTATTTCTAAATGATGGAGATCCAAAATGGGATGTCAGTGTCAGAGGTATGATCACAAGGAGTAGTTTACGTTTCAATAGATGTTACCAGATAGCCTTTAAAAAGAGTAGAGCCATTCACATTCTTACGTTTGAGTTCTTAATCGCCCCTGTCTGTAAATTGATTATTTATTTACATACTTATGTGGAGGTCAGAGAACACTTGTAGGATCAGCTCTCTCCTTTGTCCTAGGGACTGAACTCAAGTTGTCAGGCTTGCTTAGTCACCAAGCCATCTTGTGGAGCCTTATTTTTGTTAATCAGAATGGAAAACGGCTACAATTGGATTGCTTTCTCTCATTTGCATTTCCCAGACTACAAGAAGAGTTGATTGTCTTGTGTTTGGTAACTGTGTGAGTTGCTTGGCTGCTCTTTCAGGGTTATCTTTTCTTAGCTATTTGCACTCCCACCCCTAGTTGTCCTTTTTTAAATTGTTTTCCCCCTACACCTTTATTTACATCGACACTGTTTTGGCTTATTTTTTCATAATCCATCACTTGCCTTTGAAGGGATTAGTGATTTTTTTCCATTAAAAATTTAAGTGTTAAAAATGGGGGCTGGAGAGATGGCTCAGCAGTTAAGAGCACTGGCAGCTCTTCCAACAGATCCTGAGTTCAATTCCTAGCACCCACATAGTGGCTCACAACTATCTATAGTGGGATTTGAAGCCCTCTTCTGGCATAAAGTTGTATGAGCAGATAGAGCACACACACACACACACACACACACACACACACACACACACAAATAAATAAATAAATAAATAAATAAATAAATAAATAAATAAGTCTTTAGAAATGGATGGGGCACGGGGTGCCTCCTCTCATGCATTCCAGGTCAGAAACACACCTCTTTGCCTCAGAATGGCAGGAGCATTTTTTTTTAACCTGTAGTTTCCAAAGCAGAGAACTAAAAGCTCAAAAGGAAATTGACTGTCCACTGAAAAGGAAGAATCTGACTTTGCATATGTTCTCCATGCTATATAAAGGTATAGTACAAACCTTCAGTGCAAAGAAAGATGCATAAATTATTTTTGTTTTTGTATATTTTTGAAGAGTAAAGAGCAAATCGGAAGTTTTGTCTTTAGTCATGAATGGCCAGTAACTAACTCAAGTACAACCCACTGCTTATTTGTTTAGTTCCAGTCATTTTCAATATCACCCATCACTTTATTAGTTTATACATGATGTAGAAGTGTAGCCATAAATGAGTTCAAGTTACAAGCATTTAGTTGAACCTATTAACTTTCCAAGTCATGAGATACTTCTAATTGCTTATTAATGATTAATTATACCATAAGTTTTGATGACTTGCTATACATTAACATATATACTCTTTCTTGTTTTTCTTGACAATTTTTAATATTGTTATTATAGAAGGAAAACAGATTTTGTATCCTTTAGATCTATATGGTGATAACTGTAGCCATGGTGTAGTCTAATACATTTCTCTGCTAAATGATCATTAAGAAAAACGAATACAAACAAGTAATTGTGTTGACAGTGATTTAAAACAAAACCGTGTAAAGTTCTGAAATATAAATGCCAAGTCATTGGTTGTGATTGTTGCATGATGAGAAATCACACAGAGGTGTTTTGTGTTTGCTTGAAAATTTTGTATTGATATAAGTAAAATTTATAATTAACCCTTAATTCAGAAACTCATATTTCAAAATGAAAACATGGAGTAAAAGAACAGCCAAATGTAGACTGCTTTAAGGAAGTCCTAGGCCGTGTTTTCAGAGAAGCTAGGCGATAAGAAACAGAAAACTTGTACTACTTATTAATCTTTAAAAATGCCATTTACTGAAAACTTATACAGAGTGGTATGGATTTTAGTCTCTGATAACCAATGAAAAATTTGTAAATGTCCCTTGTTTTCAAATGGATATGTAAACTAACTTTAATATGATGAGTGTCTCGGTATTTATCACCTTCCTGAAACCTGGGTTAATGATGCTGCTGATTTGTACACTATAGGTTGTGAATTCCCTCTTTCACATTATATTAAATGTGGTCTCATCAAAGAGAACCTCTATTAAGAAACAGTCTAGGCAAGAAGCAAAGGGATAACACATTGAAATTGATCACCAGTTAATGAGGGAGGGGTAATTTTTATTTTCCATTGTCTTATTAACGTGATTTGAAATCAACCTAAATATTGCTTTCTTTGCAGGAATCTTAAATTTTGCTGTTTCCCATCTTTCTCCGAGGCCTGGAAAGTGCTTGCGAAATCATCTTTGATCTTTTTGGCTTGAATTGCAGTTGTTTCCATTAACGCTTGAATTACGCAGAGCAGCGAGATGAGGTTCCTTCTCTGAAGCTTTCATAAACATCTTAAATCATCTTTAGATCGAGACTATCAGTGCGTCAAGATGCAAGTCTATTAACATATCGAAATGCTCACATTGGGCAGCAACACAGAACATTGCAGCAATATTTCTAGACCAAAGCCGTAGGTGACATGAATGCTTGCCTTTTATTTAATTGAGCTGAATATAAAGCTGGTTTAGAAGGCCACCTCTTTTTATAATTTGTGCAGCCTACTTTCTTAATTATCTAATTTCTATTATTCCATTGCCTGGAGCGAAGTGCTTACTCAGGGAGTTGCAATTTGTGGTCACAGATGGGCTTAAATTGAAACAAACAGATCACCTGTGACCTCTCCAAAGTTCTATTGTCCACTTAGGAGACCCACTTGCTGTGAGCCTGGCCAGACCTTCACCTCTTCTGTCCTTCCTGAAAGTCTCTTATTAAAGTCAGGGCAGCTGGTGAAGAACAGTGGTCCATCTTTATCCTCAAAGGGTAGATGTGAATAGTAACAATATAAACCATCCAGAAAACAGGAGCTGAAGTCTTCCATGAGGTCTGTCAACCCAAAAGAGCCGCTTGACCCTGACTGAGGTCCGTTCCCTTGTTAATTATTAAACATAAGAAGTGTATTTAATTAATCTTTGTATCTGTAGTTTTTGGTAATTACAATCAATGGGATACCCTTCCATGGAGTAGGGAGTTCGCTTTCTATTCCTGCCATCAATTTGTTATACTCTGTGTTAAACTAAAAATGGAGTGATTACATACAATTATTTATTAGAAACAAGACACAAACTGAAAAGCTGTTCTGTAAAAGAGCAAGGTCTATTTACTATAATTTTAAAAAGTACTTAAAGATTTCATGTGCAATTCTATTCATTTCCATGGAGACATGGGCGTTAAATATTGCTTTCAGTTTATATTCAAAACCCCCAGCACATAGTTTCAAAAAGGACAAAGGTAGGATTTCCACTGACAACATAATTGATGGATGATTGACTACATCTTGATGTACAAGAAAACTTTATGTACACAATGAGATGCAATTCAGCATGAATAATTATGGAAGCTTATATTTCAACCATCAAAGTCAATCATCCATGTCAAAAAGAGGAGAATAGAAACCAAGCAAAAGTTCATATGCAAAATACACTGGAATCTTAAATCATCTCTAAGCACATTATGATCCAGAGGCACAGAAAAAAGCCATCGAAATAGTGTGCAGGTCATGATGAACCAAGAGTTTGTTTTGGAATTTGTTATGCCCTTTTGGATCTTTTGCTTCTGTTACTTTGTGTTCTGAAACAATAATGAAAATCTTAGTTTTTATTTTATAACAAGAAGTACTTATTTATATTATTTATAAGTATAATTTATTTATGTTCATGAATATTTGACTTCTTCCTTCATGACATTGTATACTCTACAATAAAACTTAAGACATGCTCTTGACAACCGCATTTTAGAAGAGACTTTGTACTTTCACCAAATATAAGAAGGCTGTGAAGAAGTCTGGCTATAAAGCCACAGCAGGGCTAGCTGAAATAGCGTGGGATAGTTGGCTTGTAGGACGGAAGAGGGAATGGAATACAGAAGCATGCCGTAGAAAAGCATGGTTTAATGCTTCTACCGAGGAACTGACAGGCAAGGGGCCTTCAGTCCTTTGAAAGGAACAGAAGTTCTGTAACTGAAAATCAGGAAAAGAGCAATTAGGGGAGCACTGAACAACAGAGCTGCAAGTATTAAGTCATCAATCATGTGTTGAAGATGCTGCAGAAATGTTAATACTCTCGAGGACCATGTTGAAGTGAGCAGTCAGATTCGGCAGGTGCAGGTCCATGAGCTGCACTTCTGATTGTCTCAGGAGATGGAAAGGCCGGTGGTAGCAAATGCAGGGGTCTTTGCCTTAGGAACAAACATAGACCAAGTGACCACTAACGCACTTCTCAGTTTTACTAATTCTGCTGTTTTGTAAATATACCCAGCAACAAACATGGTTCGTATGCAATGAAAAACATTAATTCTAAGCATGCATATTAACGAATTTTGACAGCCAAAGAGCAAATAGTAGTCAGCCCAAAGCTTCCTTTCACACTTTTGATTTTCGGGTCACATACCTCTGGCCCTGAGCATCCATGGTAGAGCTATGATGTTCTGTTTTATGATTAGTTTCAATATTATTCTAGAATTTTATATAATTAATGTCACACCAAACATTTTATTTTGTATATAGCTCCTCTTTATTAGTATTAAGATTTTTCAAACTTTGATATATATTTACATTGCTATTCTTAGGAGAAATCCATTTCTTAAGTAATTTTTCATTGTATGGATGTACCATAATTTGACTCACTTGCTGTTTTGATGGTGCCCAGTTTTTGGCTTGTATAGTCATGTTAAGTCTATGTTCATGCTTTGCTTACTGTGCATGTGTCCTTTTTATCTGGCACTTTGGAGAATTTTCTTTTGATTGCTGTACTGAGAATGAACCTAAGAGAACTGAGTCATATGTTTCCTGTGGGATGAAGACAGTCTTGATTTGAAACTGGAATGGAAGCATCTGCTATCCTATAGAATTGTCTTAGGGATTTTGTAGCTTACAGTAGTTCTTTGTCTCTTTGCTGGGTTCCATTACACACAGAGAGAACTCAGAATTTAACAGAAGGTCCGGGGCCACTATGCAAAGTCGAAGAGCCCTTGTTCTATGGAACTTTCTCCTCACTATTATCTCTCTGAGAATTCCACCTGCCTCCGCTTGCTTGAACTCTTAAACTCACACCCTTAACTCAGAGATACCATTGTGTTCCCTGTATCATAGTCAGAGATCAGCTACCAGGTAGATATGTAGGATAATTACAAGGCTCGCTTTATTTTCTTCATTTCAGAGATTACAGATCCATGCTGGCTATTGCCTGATATCTACAACCTGATATTTCATGTGTGTTCAGTTTTCTAGTGTGTACAGTGGAAAGTCTGATAGCATATCATACCCTATTATAAAGGTATCATAGGGTAAATGGAAGGAGTTCTGGTATTTGTTGTGTTAGCCTCTCCAGAGCATTCATTGTCTATTGGTTTAATGCTTCAGTTGTACACTCCATCAGGATTTCTGCCTCAAGTGTAGCATTTTTAAAAGGATGGCTTTACTTTTGAAAGGACATGGGCATTTTTTTTGTCTTAATCTTTGTTCAGAAAGAATTGAACATATTTTGTTCAGATGTTTTGAATGTACTTTTCATTCCCAAGCAGGTAAGATGCTCTTATTCATTTCAATCCTATTTAATAATCTTAAATAATTAAAATTAATGGTTTTAAAGATAGTAAAACAATGACATTACTATCTCATCTTTTAATCATAAAATGACAATGGAAAATTGCAAAGCAATGGAACCGTGAGAAGAAAATGGTATCTTACACAAATCTGAGAGATGTCTGCAACCTTAGCTTCGAAAAAATTTTTCATATCTTTCTTGATTTGAACCCAGTCAAAAGAAGTTGGCATGGGTAGGTATATGATTGAGGAGGTCACAAAGTCATCTGAGTTCTCTGGTAGTAGCTGGCACATGGAGGTAGAGACAAATAATGCTTAAGTTTGAATCAAGATTTTAAAGTGATGGCCTTCCACACTTCAGCATGATGTATTAAGTTGGAGAAGCAGCAGAAGTACTGGAGAAGGACAGTGAGATGTGCAGGAGCATAAAGAACCAGATGTAGTCAGCCACATCTGGAAGAAGTAAGTAGCCCTGTACCAAAGAGGAATCCAAACTGAGCTTTCAAGGTGTTTGCATGACTTCTGAGCAGTCAAAGGTTTTCAGATATGCATACATTTTTTTAAATGAAATCACCACAAAAGCACTGTTTCAATAATACTGAAAATTTGACCTTGTACTTATCACAGAAGAAAGACAGAGGGAAATTAATTATCAAAATTAAGGTAACAGACAAGATAAACTGAACAGAGAAGTAGAATGGGAAAGGTAGGACACATGAGCAGCTTGTCGTGACAGTAATTTAAAAAGGTAAGCACAGTTGTACAGAGTGAAAGGTGAGAACAGGGAGGATATTTTTTATGGTGTCAGGTAGTCTTGGCTTTGCCCTATGTTAACTGATGCGTGTGCACACTAGCCCCGCATCTGTCATCCTCTGTGGATGTGGTACAATGAAGAATGCCCATGGTTAGAAAGTGGATTTACTAAAGCAGTGAGGCTACATGGCTCTAGTTAGGCACACTTTTTATACCTATAAGAAATAAATTCACACACTTATAAATTACTAAAACATATGCAAGAAAAATAGACACAATAGATAAATTAGCATAGCAAAAAATAGTCAGTTACTTACTTTAAACTATTCCAGACTCAGACGGCTTCTTAGTGGAATTTAGTCAAATGTTTGAGATGGATAAAAATACTTCAAAAGGTTTCCAAGCACAGGAAATGAAGATGTTTCCTATTTTATCAATAGCACAGCATTGATGTAAGTCAGACAAACATGACACAGAGATGGATTTACAGTATCATTTAAGCAGTCCACACAAACTATCAGCCTGCTGATGAAACAGTCACAGTGAAGCAACACTGTGGTCTGGCTAAGCGAAGTTCACACCAGGCATCTGATGAGAGCTGACTATCCATAAATCTAAATGTGACCAGGTAAGATGTCAACAGGGAAGCAATTCTGAGAAGGTGAATGATAAAATTCGTACTAATTTCTAATTTAAAAGACTCAATATAAAGAAATAGGTTATCTCAAACCAGAAACCATGGCCAGCTCAACAATGACTATGTTTCTATTAAAGATTAGCAGAGGAGATGCAATCCATTGTCATTGCTATGCAACATCACTCCATAAATTAGAGTAAGGAAAAACGTAAATACTTTAAAGGAAGTGGAAAACTTATTATTGGCAGTTAAGGTAATATTTATCTAGAAAATAGTTAAATTTTAGATGCTAATGATATGAAAGAAAAATATTTCAATAAGATCTCAAATTAACAGTGGATATAAAAATGAGTAACTGGTGCCTTAGGAGGCAATTCATTCGGTACACTCTCGCTGCCCAAGTGTGAGGACCAGAGTTAGGTCCCTAGCTCCTGTGGTGTGGTGTGGACCTGTAATACCAGCACTGGGGAAGCAGAGATGGGTGTGTTCCTGGGGCTTATTGGCCTCAGTGAGAGACCCTGTCTTAAAAATCAAGTGACACAGCTCCCAAGAATTGACCCTGAAGTTGCCTTCCACACACATGTGAATACACATGCATGTACAGCTGTATATACCCATGCACAGGATCATATACACCTGCACACAAACACGCTCAGTAGCCAAACAACCATGCATTACATAGTTGAAAACTACTGAGAGAGTAGATTTGAAAATTCTGATCACGGAATCTCAGTAAGTGAGGCAATACACAAGTCAGTTAGCTTGCCTAGCCATTCCACAATGCGTGAATACATCAAAATAGTGTGTTGTGTATACAGCTGTCACAGTTAAAAAATAAAAAAAATCAAGTAACATTCATATTAACGAACAAAAAAAAAACCACTTTGAAAATATAAGAAGATCTCTAATTTCAAATAATCTAAGGTAAAGTGTGTTGAAACAGATTAAACAGGTATGTAAAGGAACAAATAAGGAACATCGTATCTCTATGCATAGACTCATAGGTGGAGCGCGGACTAAATAGGAGTTCATTGCTGTTAGACTGAAAGACTTCCCATGTGAGCAAATCAAGAGTGCTCATAAAGTATTGATATTTTAATGAGAAATCAACAAAATTGTTTTAAAAGTTCATTTGGAAAAGTACTTAAAATAAATTTCCGTGTTTTTTTCAGAAACATAAATAAACCCAGAAATAATAGATTGTCATAGGAAACAGATTGCAATTCATATGAGACAAACTGACTTCAAATATGCACTAAAATGTGTTGTTGGGGGGTGAGAGATGGCTCAGTGGTTAAGAACAATTGCCACTCTTCCAGAGGACCCAGATTTTGTTCCCAGCATCCACGGGGCAGCTCACCACCATCTGTAATCCCAGTTCCAGGGGTTCTGACTTCCCCTCTGACCTCTGCAGGCACTGAGGCAAAACACTCATAACCATAATATAAAAATAAATAACTCTTTAAAAATGTTGTCTTGGGGGAAATGCAAGTTAGGAGCAAGAAGACTGTATTTCTTCCTGGCTCTTAAAATTTAAAAATAAAACTGAAGCTGTAGGTAATAAACCCAGATGATAATGAACAGTGGTAAATAAATTCCACTTTCTTCACAGAAACCTTTAGGACCTTGCACTGAGACGTTTACTGTCCCAAACAGCTGCCTTTCCCCATTTGTAACCATATCATAACTTATCTAAAGGAAACTTCATCCCTGAGTATCCAGTTGTTTTATATTATGAGCAGGGCCAAAATAAATATCCTTTTATAACTGAACAGGAGATGGTGAGGGGCAAAGGTGTGTTCCCATCTTTGCAAAAGGAGACAGTCTGGGGGCAGATAGCATGAAATTTTATGATGCACTCTTACAAAAGGGTCATAATGAAATCCATGATGCTGTACAGTTAATTTATATTAATAAAAAGGGTGGATAAAGAGAAAATGAGATGTTTATGCTTACGTTCCAGAATATTCAATTTCAACTTCAAATGTTAATGATTAATTTTAATTGTTCTTGCTTGTTCTCTGGATAGAAATTGGGTTTGGGAAGTAGAATAGATCCATCATTTTATTGTACATTAAATTACACAGAACGAGTTCTTTAACCTCATGTATATTATTTATTAAGATATTTATTAGTTGGTAAACGGCAGGATGGAAATAGAGCAAACAGCTGGGGATACTGTGACCTAACATTTTATGGAGAAAGAGAGCAGCTACTCATGCTTTGACACTGAGCTCACAGGGG